CTTCCTCCGTGTTTCCCTTGAGAATCTACCCTTTTCTTATGGTCACAACCCACCTGCGCCATCCTCGGGCAGCCCCAGACTCTAGCTCTGCGTGATGTCTTCAGTGACTTCTGCATGTACAATATTTATCTTCCCTATGGAAACGAGAGCCCCAAATCCATGTAACTCTGAAAGCAAGATCATTTATCTACCCTACCAGGGGAAAGACCATGAAGATAATATGTTCCAGAATATAGCTCCCAAAACATCTCTCAAGAAATTGTTCTCACAATGTACAACTTTGGAAGCATTACTGAGGAAAAATGCTCTTGGTTCAACTGTGCCCAAAGTTTATGAGAAACGTACACTTGAGGAAGACACAACAAAATACATGAACTCATTAAATAATGAACTAAAAAGAAAAAGATAGCAATAGACCAATAAGACAACAAAACACATCCTAATTTTAAAAGCCTGTGAATGACTTAAAATTGAGAGATAAAATGTCTTAAAATTTAGCTCTTAAGCATTAACTTTTTACCTTTTGGATTCTTGTATTTTTATATGGTCATGATTTGGGATATAATTCAGTCAAAATAATATTTTTCCCATAAGGAACTACAGTGGAAAACCTGTTTTATTCATACATGGCTCCTACAATGTCGGTCAGACAGGAGTCTCAGAAAGTGGCACAAGGGAGTATGAATATCTGTATCTATCTATCTGTCTATCTATTCTCCAGCTATCTCTCTCTTTACCTAAATTATTACATTTGTAAATTGCAAATCATCATAGACAATATTATAGTTGAACCTGCATCTCAATTTCTCTCTCTCTTTTTGTTTTTTGGTGGCCCATACGGGACATCTCAATTTCTCAAGCTTGAGAATAGAAAACATTCTTTCATGGATTTAGAAAGCTTTGGGTTTGGTTTTAACTCTGCCGCTGATTAGCTAAGATGCCTCTTTTTGCCTGGCATTGTGCATCCGTAAGATAATGTCTTTCATCTTTAGTAGATAAAGGACGGTAGGTCGGAAAGGTGTTAGAGGTTTGTATTTCACTACTTGAAAAATGGACTCAAACCCCTATAGTGATCCCACTGCTATTGAGTAATTTTCGATTATCCTCCTGTCCCTATATGATATTTTTGAGTCTATAAATCTGTACAGGAGCAGGCAGCCCCAACTTTCTCTTGGAGAGGGGCTGGTAGACTTGAACCACCAAATTTGTGATTGGTAATCCAATCTTTATCTAGCAGCGTCACCACAGTTCTAACATATAGTGATACTGTCTTTATTTGGTTTGGTTTGTTTTTTGTCATAAAAACACAGCATAATACTTTTGCTTTTTCAAAACTCATTTTATTCCTGCCCATTCTGATGCCTATCTGCATTCCCAATCTCAGCCTACTTTGAGAGTTGAGAACCATTGATCCAGATCAGTCAACGATTCCAGCCACCTAGTGTACACTGTTGAACCTACCAATGCCCCTCACTCTTTCCACCTCTGGGTCTTATCAAGAAGAGCCTTCTTTCTCACTGCCTTATTTCTTAGGTAGCTCCCATATTTCATGAGACCAACTACAGTCACCAACTGTAGTTGGTGGGAAGACTTTTCTTAAAGTTGAAAAAGATGAGCTCCCTGGGTCTCCTCTCCTCTTCTTCTCTTGCCCTTACCAATTTAAGTCCAACTTCATTGCTCTAGGAGCCCTTGTAGCATAGTGGTTACTCATAGGGCTGTTAACCACAAGGTCATCAGATCAAAACTTCCCCTCTGGGAAAAGATGAGGCTTTCTACTCCTACAAAGGTTCAGAACCCTACAGATCCACAAGGGTAGTTCTACTCTGTTCCATGGGATCACTGTGAATCAGAATCAACTTAATGGCAGTGAGTTTGGTTTGGGAGAGTTATCACTGGTCTGGCTTTCAGGGCCTTTCAGTGTGATTTCACCTACTTTCCTAGCCTTGCTTTCATTTGTTTGCATGTGTATCCTGTTGTGTAGCCTAGATTACCCAGTATTGGCTGAGGATAACTCATATTGCACCGCACCAAGTCCTTCCCTTCTGCTCTGCCTATCAAACCCATCCCCGTGTCCCCAAACTCATCTCAACCACTTTCTCCTACCTTTGAAAGAGTTGTGCTGCTACCCCTTAAATCTTTATAGGTTTGTTAATATATTTGTAGTATTTCAATTACAGTTAAAAGATTATGCAGGATAGCAGTTAGACCTTATGCAACTCTATGATCCAAAGATTCTAATTAAGAGATGTTTTCAAATTATACACATGGTCCATAAAATAGATATTTGTATAGATATGTCCATGTGAGTGTATGTATTTAAAATGGAAACAAAGTCTTCATAACATAATATTTTTCTTATTATATTTTATATACTATTTATTTTTATGTTGACTTAAATTGATTTCACAGCCATCTACCACTGTTGGGAATAAAATGTTCTCTGTACATATTGTACAGAGTAGGTTTGCTGAATTGAATTAAATGGAATTTTTCTGAAATC